AGATTTCTCTAGGAACAATCTCATTTTATATATACATAAAATCAAATACACATGTAGTGTTTAGGCAGTAAAATATAATGTAAAATATAATCTGATAAGTAACAGCTGATTGGGCTGAGGGCTTCAACCTGAATAAGAAGGTCCAGGAAATCATTTGAGAGATGCAAATCAACAAATGTGTCCTCAGCAAGTACTTAAATACAGTGTCCTACATTCTTGGGGGCAAAGGACCCACTACTGCAAAACTGCAGAACAGAACAGAATAGAAGGAGGGTGAAAGTAGGAGTTGTACGATATTAGATATCACGAAGTCCTATCCCTTCATTTTAACTTGGAGGATACTGAGACCAGAGAGGCTAGGGGGATTGCCCAGTTCAATGTACTGACTTGGAAGGACAAATCTGTCATTTAAATGAAGACAAAGAAGCCATGGAGGAATGAGTCTAGAAACTGGAAACCGCGGTGGAAAATAAAAATTAAGCTGGGGAAAAATTAAGCTACCTCTTTATCTCTGAGCATATGCTAAAATAAATTTCAGTTAGAAAGATTAAAGGATTAACAGTAAGAAAGAAAGACTTAAAGAACCTAGGAGAAAACTGAAGTGAAAGATTTCTTTTTCATATCACAGGACAGGAAAGAATTTCCTTAGTATAAAAGGAAAAATGAGAAAAAACACAAATTTAAAGTTAAGCATTTCCCAAATAGAACAATTACTAAAAGCAAATAACAGAAAATATCTGCAATAAATATGGACATATAAAGGATCAACATCCTTAACATTTGCTGATCAATAACAATAAATCAATAAACAATAACAGCTAACTTCAATACAAAATTAGGCAAAGGACACCAGGCAGGTAATTCAAGAAGAAAAAAACCAAATGATCAATAAACTATTGAGAAAACATACAATGTATTATAATAAAAAATGCAAATTATGAGATGTCATTCTTGATCTATCATATTAAAGATTAAATGATGACTCTCTTCAATGTTGGCAAAAGGTGCAGAGACAGATACATCCATGCCCTCTTGGTAATAGGATTAATACAATCTTTTTGATAGCAAATGGCCAATGCACATCAAAATCCTTCAAAACATAAATATTCATTTATTTAAAATAGGCAGTGGTTGTCAAAGTGTGGTCAATGAACTTCTGGAGTCCCCGGGACCCTCTCAGGGGTCTACAAGGTCAAAATTATCTTTATAGAAATAGTTTCCCTTTTCCCTGTGTGACATGTGCAACGATAGTGCAAAAACAATGGTGGGTAAAGTTGCCAGCTCCTGGGCACAAATCAAGGCTGGACACAACTGTCCTAGAAGTCACTGTATTCTTCACCGTCACACACTTGCAATGGGAAAAAAAAGGCAGTTCCACTTAAGACTATCCTCAAATTCACTTATTAATAGTCAACCCTTGAATACACATCCTTTTAACGTTCTATATGTCCAAATAAGAAGTAAACACAAAGCACATCTACAGCGTTCAGGAGACTGATGGCTGTCTCAAGGAAAAGCACCTGTACGATTGTTTGAGTGCTGAACTAGCTGTTTTTTCCATAAGAGAGCATTTTTATTGGAATGAACGATGAACAAAGTATGGTGATTCAGATTTGGGTATCTGGCAGACATGTGCTCAAAAATAAACAATGTGTGCCTGTCTCGTCAAGGAAAACAAGTGATAATATTTGTTGCCAATGATCAAATTTGAGCTTTCAATGGAAAATTCAAATATTGGAAAACTTTGTATCCATCACCATAAGCTTGACAGCTTCAAATCTTACAGGTTTTTCTGATGAGATCAGGGAAGATATGAACAAATGTGAATTTTTTTTATGCTATATACTGAAAGGTGACAACATTTGGGAGACTTACATAACTCACAACCAACATTTTGCAAGTGAACAATGCATGATAATAAAAATCATACATAGGTAAAAGATCCATTCAAAGTTCATGACAGGCCAATGGATTGTAATATAACAGTGGAAAGTTCCAAGATATGGTTTCACATTCCACATTGCAATTAACCTTTAAGAAAATACCACTTGTTGGGTTTTATATAGCAACAAAAATATCCACAATTATCAGAAAAGCCTATTAAATTACTCTTCCCTTTCCAACTACATATTTGACTCAGGCCAAAGTCTCTTCATATTCTTTAATCAAAATAACATATCGCAACAGGTTGAATGCAGAAGTAGATAGATGTCTTTCTTCTACTAAGACAGACGTTTAAAAATTTTTGAAAGTAGAAAATGAGGCCATTTTCTCACCACTTTTTTGAAGTGATGGTTATGAATCAATAATGTTAAACATAACATGTTAACAAAAACATGTTGACATGTAATGGGTTTATTACAATTAATTTTTAAATAAATTAATAAGTAACTTTTTGTTTTATTTCTGTTTTAATTTATATTTTGGTAAATATCAACAGATATAATCCATATAAACAAAAGTTCTTTGGGGTACTCAATATTTATTTAGAGTGTAAAGAGATCTGCAGACTAAAAGTTTGAAAACTGCTCATATGGTCATTCCCAACTTCTGGGCATGTAAAGAAAGAAAATAAGCAGACTTGACATTATATTATGTACAAAAATAGTATCAAAAAATTAGAAACAAAACTTGCTATCCAACAAAAAGGAAATGAATGGTATATCTAGAATGTGAATTGCTTATCTAAAACACATTGTGAAGAATTTCTGAAGATGAGACATGCTCACTATATATTAAGTGAAAAAAGTAAGATATACAAAGTATATTATAGGACAGTACTACAGTGGGGTAATAAAAGCTTAAAAGGAAATATATAAAATGTTAACAGAAATTTTCTGGGCTATAGTATTACAAATAATTTTTATCTCTTTACTGAGCATATCCTCCTTTTAAAATAAAAAAAATTTTAAAAATTAGCGACTTTGTAAAACATTTCAGTACTCAACGTATGCAAAGACCACCAAAATAATTGCTGCTGTTATTATTATTAATATTGAAACTCATCAAGACGGCTTAGTATAAAATTCTGAACTGAAAATTATGAAACCTGTACTCAAGACACTGTTTGGCCATTAAACATCTCCGGGATTTTTGACAAGTCACTTAACCTCTTTGAACCACCAGAAATTATCTCTCAGGTCCGTACCCGACCAACTCTAGATTTGATAGATAAAATGATCTATCAAATCTAAAGGTTGTTCAAGTCCTTTGTAAGGAACACCTAAAGTAAAAACAGTGCTTGGTGAACACACAATAAATACAGTGTACAGAAGATGTGTTGTAAATTGTGCACCTGAAACCTGTATAATTTTGTTAACCAGTGTCACCCCAATAAATTCAATAAAACAGAAAGGAAAAAATAAAGTAAAACAGTGCTATAGTGAAAACTGTGAAGCCAAGTCCAAAAATCACATTTATTATAGTTTCCACCCATGCTGCTAAATGGCCCTTTAATTCCTTCTTTTGACGATTAGTGCAGCCTCTATAAATAGTTTCCAGTGGAAGAAGGGTTCATGATTCCCCAAGTGGTATTTGTAAGAAGTGAAAAGTATGTGAGCATATCATGAATAAGAAAAAGGGGAGGGGGATGCATAAAAGAATAACCAAGGCAGCATGGTGCCTCAAATGAAGGGAGTCCTTTGTAAATGCACTTCATAAGGAAGTATGGGGAGGTTACCTCTTATGGAGAGGACAAGGTATTTTCTATGGAAGAAGAAAAAGAATGAGAGAAAAAGAGAATAGCAAGAGGGAAAAAAAGCAAAAATACAGTTGTAATATAAGTACATGAGAAAAGAATATCTCAATGTATGTTCTATTTTAAAACTGTCCAGAAAAATCTACCTATTCTCATAGCTGGCAAGCCTTCAACCATTCATTGTTTATTGGCAGAGTTGGCAAGAGTTATAAACAGATAATTAAATACATATTTGTCATTTTGTTCCCAGTTAGCAAATCTGATAAAAAACCTTAGACTATAAAAGGATAAATATTGCCTTAAATTAAATATGGACAATATTAGAAAGAGATCCCTTCATTTTATAGATTAGGAAAACTGAGTCCTTCAAAAAACGGAGATAATAAAAGACCTTCGATTTGTACTTTACTGATACCAATTATCCAATAATCTTGCTTTCCTCAAAAACACAAACTTCTATGATGCTGTCCATTGAAGGGTTACATGTCAAGGACAGGCGCATTCTCCATTAGGGGCTACAGCACTCAGTGCCACAAAACAAAATGGTACAAGTGTGAATTTGGTTTTGAGATCAAAGAAAAGTAAACAAACAAAGTAAACAAAAAGTAATCTATTACCATCTCACAAATATAATGACCTTTTTTGTCCTGGACTGGTTCTTTGCGTAATGTCTGGGCACATCTTCAAAATGAGGAACTCTATAGTATATGGATCCTCAAGTCCTTTCTTAGAAAGTTGGATAATCCTAAAATCACTGAAAAAAAAAAAGTGTTTTGGGGAGGAGGGAAGTATGAAATATACCTGGAATGTGTATACATATGGTTGTTCAAAGGCCAACCTTGAGCCAAGAGTGGGATTGCTAGGATACCAGTCTCCCTGGCTGGCTTGAGAACACTGGAGGTCACTGAACGTCACTAGCGAGCCATAGTGAAAGAGGAGGCCCCTTTAGGCCTGGGCTCCCTAGTCTGTTTCCAAGGGCCAATTGAACACGGCCCTCCATTTCCTGCTTTCCAATCTGCAGTTGGTATTTGCACTGTGAGAGGGCCCTGCCATCTGTCGTTCATCCCTAGTCTCTGTCAATTAACCACGAGATCTTTATGGAGCACCTACTATGTGCACCGATCACTAGCACATACCAAGTTTCAATAAGCAATTGTTAACGTGTTAGATTCAAACCTCTTTCACCATCCTTGATCTCCTAACATCTGACATGTGGGGCACGTGGTTCCTACGTGCTGGCTCGGCTGCCCAGGCACAGCCGATGCAGGCAAAGGGCTGTGAGAGAGGAGAGATGGGCACTTACCTGGGGAACCTCTGCTTCAGCTTCCTCAGGCTCTGCCTGGTGGGAGGCACAGACACTAGGCACTGGGCTATCTCGTCGTACTGGGCTTTAGTCAGTATCATGTTGGGCCAGAGTCTGGGAGGTGGCGGGGACAAGTAAAAAAACACCCTGGGCTCGAGAAGCCTTGGTGGCGGGAGACCAGGGGGTGGGCACACGTGGGCACAGCGCTGGGTCCTCCACTTCGCCGGTTTGCCCCTAACCCCTTCCCCCTTAGCTGCCCGCCTGGGCTTCACCCTGCAGCGACGCGGCGGCGGGGGCGGGCTGTGGCCCGGATTGCCCGGCCTTGGCTTTCTGAGCAGCCGCAGTGCGCCGGGCCGAGGCAACCCGCCGCCATGTCAGTTAAGGGCAAACCAATCAGGAAGTCGCGGCCCCGGCGGAGGTGGAGCCTAAGTTTCCTCCGGCAGGTATCCCGGCAGCGACCACCTGGGATGCTCTAGGCGTTGATACCGTAGCCTCCCAGTTTCCTGCAGCTGGGCGGTCCTGGCCCACAGACCCAGCAGCAAGGGAACGGGGTGTCCTGCGGTCCCTAGGCTGGAGCCCCGGGAAGCCACTGCCAGGGCGCGCGATTTGAAGACGCTTCCAAACGCGCGTGTTTTAAAGCAGCTGCCACTGGAGGCCGACCCACAAAGGAAAGATGCCTTCCCGCCAAGTCGGCCCCCACTCCGGGAGCGGGGGCAGAGGGGCAAACTCCAGGATCTCCGTGGGCACGACACAAGCCCGGCTCTGGAGCTGGCGTGGCGGTCTGGACACGTGGTGCAACAAACTAGCGAACGAACTGGACCTCAGCGAACAGGCCGCGGGAAGCAGGCGCTGTCGCTCCGCCCCGTCGGGGGCTCAGGGGCCGAAACCGCTTCTGCCTCGTCTCCACAGGTCTCAGAAAACCGTAGGCGCTGGACACATGTTTGGAGAGATGAGCCAGAGAAGGAATGTTTTCCTTGGTGCTGCGAGCAGATCTCAGATCTCCTGAGGCAGTTTTCTAGGACATCGAACCCTCCTTTAATCCCTTTTAAAAAACTAATTTTGTTTCTTAAACAAATTTTGTTTCTTAAAAGGCTATGTATTGTGTTTCTTTCCAAAGTTAACATTTGAAAACAAATGAAGGAAAAACGTGTTTAGATGTTAGAGAATGTGTAAGCGATTGCTGTTATTTTTTAAAATCTGGAATAAGGCCTGGGATGGAAGTTTGGCTTAGATATGCCTCCTTGGATAAATTCCTCAATCCATCCAAGCCTCAGTTCCTGTGTCTGTAAAACTGATTTTTAATGAATGAGGTAGTTGGTAAGCTTGAATAGGAAGGGAAAGCATTCCTCTGCATCTTGTCCAGCAGATAGACTATGTAAAACTACTTGGTAATGATAGGTCACATGGACATGGCCTTTACCAGCTATTGTTTAACAGGCTCCCTACACTTTGACTCACTTAATCCTCATAACTTCCTGTGAGGCTGGTACAATGCCATTATCACCTTCCTCTTCCCTTTCTGCAGGGTGAATAAACTGAGGCATGAAAAGGTTAAGTACCTTCCCAGAGGTCAGGAGAACAAGTAAGCAGCATGCGTCCAGTTTAAACTGCTGAAATGTGGTTGCAGAGTCTGTACTCCTGGCAGTTCTCAGTAATAATCAGTACACAAAATAGTCACACTCTCTTAGGCCAAAGGTTAAGGATTTTTTATTTTGAACAGGAATAATCTACATTTCGAAGAATCTTCTAGTTCAGAGTTTAAAAAGTTCCACCACTTTATTTTCCCAAAGTCCAGTAACAACAGTGGATCCTGAATTCAGAAACCATGGTGTGTGTGTGTGTGTGTGTGTGTTTCCTGAATATTTACATCAGAATGTTTTCTTGCCATATGCTTTGCATCTAACTCTGGTTGTGTGACATTAGTACATAACTATTTATTTATGGCAGCATGGCCTGGAGTTGCCACCTGGCTAGTTTGTTGCTGACCCTGCCATGACTTTTACATGAAAGCTAGCTGACGATAAGCAGACACCACTTGATCCCCCATTCCGTTCTCCCTCCCACTTTCCTCTTTCCAATTCACAGCCAACAGATTTTTATAGAAAACGTCAGTTCAAGGATGTTTGCACTAGTTATTTTTTATAGTAACTCTTCTCCCTGGCTCTTGTCCTGCCTTCACCCTCACAACCCTTAAGGAACAGGCCAGGTTTGTTTTTCTGTTTTTATTTTTAACATGCTGGCAGATTACAATTTTGACCCAAATCCAGTAGATTGTTTAGAGTTAGTGCCAGGGGAAGAGCACAGTTGTGTTGCTGTTTTTGTTGGCAGTGACAGTAGTGTTGTTTATTAAGCACAAAATAGAAGCAAAGCAGAAATGTCTTGTTCTTGTTGTTGTTGTTGTTTAGGTGTTTTTAAATTTTCTTTTCATGTGAAATGCATGGAGTAAGCCAATTATGCCTTTGGGGCCCCCTTCTCCCTCCCTTTACTTACCTCCATTCTGCCCCATCTCTTGCCTCATACCCCATGCCCCTCATCTGCCTTTACTCCTCTGAGCTGCCCTTTCATGCCTGAGGTTCCGTTTCTCAGTCAGTTAGTAATACCAACCATGTGCCCATTAAGTGAAGAAGGGTCATGAAATGAAAACAATGCCAAACTAAAAAACCCAAAGAACTGGCTACCTGTTTATAATTAGCCATAAATGGTGGGCCCTTGAACAAATGAAAGCCTTTCTAATCCTGAGTGTACTCCGTGTAACCCCAAGACATGGAACTTTATAGTTCGGGTAGGGAGGAAGTATCTAGGAACACAAAAAAACTTGAGGAAATCACAGCAACACAATGTGCCACAGTGGAGGCTAGTACAGCTCCCTGGAAGAACCTGCCACCCTGAGAGGTGGGGTGGAGCCAATCGACCAGATTTCTTCCTGCCAATTTCAGGATAACGTGAATGATGAACAATTTTAAAGGAGTGTGGGGTTTGGCAGGAAGGCGTCAGAAGGTCATTTCAAGAAGAGTGCTAAACAAAGGACTAAAAATAAGAGTGAGCCAAGTCACGCGCAAGGGAAAGTTATTCTGGCTGGAGCAGAGAGTTCTAGGCAGAGTAAAAGGAATTGAAGATGCTTGACCTTGGAACGAGTCAGTCACGTTTTTAAACAGTCTGTCGTTAGCTGAGTCTGGCAAATCCAGTGTGTGTTTTTTAAAAAGAAATGCTGAATGTCTTTATTACATTTTGAATTCTGATTCTGTTCATGAAATCTTGTTAAAGACAACTTACTGATTATTTTAAAGAAAAATAATTGAAGTTTACTAACTGAGTAAAGAAGGGAATTCATATTATTTAAACACCTATTTAACTCAAACATTATCCCCTTTAGGCCCTGATTTATAGATTAGGAAACAGAGACTCGAAGAGAGTAAAGGATTTACCTGATGGATCTAGTTAAGTTGCAAAACCATGATTTGGATGCAGGTCTGATGATAAAGCCTCATGTTCTCCATTGCAGCGTACTGTAATTTAAAAAGAAAAAATCTTCGGAGGAATTATCTTCACTTAAGCATGAATGTTCTGAAATTGCCGGCTACTTTCTTTGGCCACCACCAGTGAGGGTTGAAGAGGCAGTCAACCTTTGATGTTGACATTTGGCCAAAACACACTTTTGAAAAAATTGTTTGGCCTCTTTGACTAGAATAGATTGCATATTTTTCTCTTTGCCCCATGATGCACCGCCTAAAATGATGGATCTTTGGAAATCAAACTTTACATCTCCATACTTGCCATCCACGCATGACAAGTCATTTTATCCTGGTCCCCAAATAATACACACGCTTAGTGAGCAATAATAAGCAGAATCGTTCACTTGTTGAGGCTCGTAGCAATTACAATCCTCCCTAAACCACGATAGAGTGAAGTCGTGAAAGTCGAAGCTCGAAGTGAGGAGGGACGGCTGTATAAATAAAGAATCCTACTTCGCGGAAATTCATTTATCGCGGTACAGTCTGGGACTGATTGACCGCGATAAGCGAGGGCTGACTGTACTCCAATTAATGACTTAAGCAAAACTGAAGGAAACATACAGGAGAACATTCCACACTATGATGGTGGCGCAATCACTTTAACAAGTCAGGGAAGACCAAAAGCCCAGATGTGGTGGCTTCGTGCAAGTAAATGGTGAATGAGCTCCTCATCTGTCAAACCAGGTGACCTGATTCCAGAGGGCGGTGACTTGTTGATGGGAATATTCACTGAGGGCCTGTTACGAAGAGAAACCAGGCCCCACATGCACAGCGTTCTGAGAGGCATCTCCTCTGTTAGTCCATAACACTGGGAACCCAGGTAGTGGGTAGGCACAGTGCTAAGCATTTTGAATCCATCAGTCTTCCCTGAATTCTCGGCTCCTGTGTCAAGAGGTAAGTGCTATTAATAAATTCATTTTTAAGGTGAAAAACTAAGGCTTAGAGAGGTGGTTTCTACTTTATCTCATCAATTACTTGACAATATTCTAGTGTTTCTCAAATTATCTGTGTTGAGGACCCAGTTTTCCATCCATTTTTTATGGACAAATATTTCTGTATAATAATATCTTTAAAAATGAATTATCCAAAAATGAAATTTGAAAAAGGGCATATAAAATGCAAGCTCCCAATTAGTTGTTATGCAATTCAGCAGACACAGAATTACTCTGTCAAATTGATATAAAAGATTCTAAACAGTTACTCTCAATTTCTGTACTCCTCCCATAAAGACACATAACAAAATTTGAGGTCAGCCCTGGTTTGCCTATCACATTCTGAGTAGCACTGTACTACCTTAGAAAGCCTACATTGTAGGCATGTGCAAAGTCTAGGATATCACACTCCTGTGTACTCCTAGTTAGAGGCGAAGTATAACCTGTTCCCTTTCAACTTCTAAGTATCAACCATCATTATTATTACCATTCTTCTACTGTATTTAGTTCTTCTCAAGTGATGCATATTTATTAAGATCAGCAGTGCACATCCTTACAGCCTATTTCATTATGCACCCTATAAAGTTAACACCATGTGTTTTTATAGCATAAAACCCAATTTCTTCTTGAGATAATAAACCCATCAGTCAGAGCTCATATACCACTTCTGTTCTGAATTACACACCCAACACTATTGGCACGTGATAAAGGCTATTAATTGGCATTTACACATTTACTATTACAACACTTGACAAGGATAAGAAACAAAAGTAGCGT